AGTCAAAAGGCCAGAAAGAGTTTCTAGTGACGGCACTCCAAGAACCAAGTGGAAGCATTCCCGTCGCCAGCATTTGTGACAGATGTCCGGCGGTACTTTGAACGCGTAGCAGCCCTTTCGGTTTTTCGAATTTTTTACCAAAACAAATGCATTTTTTGTTCTTTTCGTTAAGATGGGTCCCAAGCCAGTGAATTATGGGCGAGATAGAATTACGATTTTTCCGAGAAGGATTCCTTCAAGGATAATGAGTAATGAATTATATGAATGTGTTAGGCACGGTGGTACTTATCGTTAGCTCCATGTTGTCGCCTGTTAGCTGTTACCTGTTCTTACGTAGCCTTCGAAATCTTCAAGTGGGTGCCCCCCCACTTCCCTTCCGTCCCTGTGGCGTGACAGAATACTCCATTGAGTATACTTGCTCGAGTGTGGGAAACCTTCCATTCCCTTTCTCAGAAGGACATTTATGAAGAAGTTATTCAGGCGTGCAACGGCTGGACACCCAGTTGAGGTGCGTTTTTTGTGCTGCATATTATTTGTGAAATTGCAGCCAAGGCAAAAAGCCTCGGCCTTTCTCTTAGAAAGTCTGGACCGATGGCATGCCTCGCGGATTACAGCTCCTCGCGATCGCTTTCCTGGGTTAGGAAACCGTGATTTATCGGAGGGACAAAGCAATCTTTGTAGGAAACGTTACATTTTCAGACACGAACTCGTAGGTTTACATGAACCTAGAAAAGGTCACCCTGACACGTCGCACTGGAGAATTGGGGGGGGGCATTTGCATGTGCGCTTTGTACATCTCGGCATATACCTCATCCATCCTACTTGACCGGGATTAATCTTCACTCTTCCGTTGACGCTAAATTGGTAGACAGAGAAGCAAACGAACATATTGAAGAGGGTCGGACAGATACAGTGCTTCATACGAGAGGATCATGTGTTGATCGATTTGTATGTTTAACATTAGCGACGTTCATTTCTAGATGCGTCTACACACCGCAAAACAGAATGTATTGTTGGTCAGGCACAACCCAGCCAGACGTCGGTTGAACGATTTTCATGATCCGCATGAGAAATCCCAGAAGATAATCACTCACAGAAGTGATACTCCCGTGTACGCAAAATCCCGGACAAGGGCGACTAGCGGCCTTGCAAAGTAGCTGCAGCAGCTGCAATTTTCTAGCAGGCTGTTGTCTGGCGCCCTCTCATCTGCGCTCTCTCGCCTCATACTCTCCTCTCCGCGCTTAGTCTCTCATTCCCTTAGCACAGCCAATTAGGAAGGTGAGTGAGCCCTTCAACCTGAGCGTTTTCGACGGATTCTTTTCCTTTTTTCTTCACTGCCGGCCCACTTGGCACCGATACATTCACATTCGTGTGCAAGAGCCACACCAGTTTAATCCTGGAGCATGCCTTTAATATTCAATGTTAGGAAAAAGGCGGAAAAGCAAACAAAGTAACCTATTTGTGACAGTAAATAAGGCTCTCTAATAACGATTCCTCCGTCCCATTTCGCTAGCTTAAAGTGCTCGGTGAAAAGAAGTGTTCGGTTCTCAAATGTGATATTTTTATACAGATTTCAATACTTTTGGATAAACGACCTCAATGTTGATGGAAGACTGGATGGAATTGAGATAATGAAGTCTATGATTCATTCACACGACGGTCATCTAGGTATGTTGGACGCGACAATGTAACCTCTACTTCTAAAACGAGATGAGCGTCGAGTGCAGACCACACACCACAAGTGACGACGGCCAAGATAGAAGTGGCTTTTCTTTTCTTTTTTCTTGGCCGTCATACTTTGTCTGCGCTCAATGCTCTTCTCATTTTCCAAAATAAGAGTATATATGTATTAAACAAACCCAATGGATAGTCCACACCTGTTTTGAATAATAAAACAAAAACATTTTCAGCCGAAATATTGCCCGATGAAAAAGTTGAGGAGATCGTGGACAGGACACTGGACCTAATGGATTTGGACCGTGATGGCTTGATCGACTTTGCTGAGTTCAAGAAAGGAACAAATGCCAACAGATAAACTTCTGTTAAGCATAGGCTTGGTGGTATAAACGACAATCATGTTTGATTATTTGTTTATGTTTGACACAGTAGAGTTTTATTAGGAGTAAATATGAGGGTTTCGCTGCTTACTCACTTTATCCATCGTCCAGGAAAACCATATCATATCACATATATCTTCTCTTAATCACATCTGGCTCCGCCCTCATTCATCAATTCTGTGGTGCTATCAGCATTGACTCGTGCCTGATAGGCCTGTTTTGAAAGTGGTTCCGGTCGAATGTTGAAGAACGAGTTACTTTACTATCAAAACTAGGGGAACCAGGGTCAACCGTTCACGTTGGACCGACATTGGACCGACGTTGGACCGACGTTGACCGCTCTCCGCGCCGGCATTCGCACTCGCCTTGCGCGAGCCGTCTGTGTCTCCGTGCGTACGTTCACTCTCGGCATTACTCTCACACGCTAGAGAGCCATGCGTTGGACTTTGTCCAACGGACGGTTGACCCTGAGGCGAACCCGTAAGGGTGCGGGCTGACACGCAATTTGTAGCGAAGGACAAAGCGATATCGATTTCACCCGTATTAGCGGAGAGAGCATTAGCGATGAAGAGGGCAGCACCGATGAGAGTCGCAACAATGCAGAAATCAACGGACAAGGGAGGGGTCTCATTTCTCGGGTTCTGTGTAGTTTCATGGTATTTTCTTCATCCTTGCACCAGGACCACCTTTACCTTCACTTCTGGGCTGTCTTTTCATCATAAAATCCGTCTCAATGCCTAAACCAGCTCTCATCAGCTACGTCGATAATTGCAAGTGATACTGCCAAAAGATTGCATTCAGTTGGAACGCTGAAGTCAGGAACAGTTTCTATATTTGCTGAACTACGCTTCAAACGGAGTTGCGGGATCCTTGTACTGTTTTGCATGCTATCCTTATCGATTGTTCCCTCAGCTGTCCACAAGCCCTTCATACAAACATCTGTAGGCATGTATTGATGCTGGGATGACGTTAAAAGTCATTCCAGCTACGTTGCCGAAAAAAGGTAAAATAGAACAATTCAATAAGGAAATGGCGATCAACGACCTCGCTGGTATGTGAACGCACATCTATAAGTTATACGTATTTTCGGGGATCAAATCCTGGGTCGTGAGTCGCCCGGGCCAACCAAGCCTTCCATCCCTCCGGGGTCGGTTAATTGGTACCAGACTTGTCTGGGAGGATAAAAACACTGACTTGTACATCGGCTGGCCCCCGCAAGTCATTGTATATTTTTTTAACTT